AAAAAAAAAAAAACCCACAATATTTCTGCTCGCCTATTACAACTTTTTCACAGTAGCTTTTCCAGCTAGAAACGGGTACCCTTGGTTACCAGTTTTCAGTATTACGCTTCCTATACTTTTCCACTTATTTTATCATCAGCTGCTCGTGCTGCTCCTAAGTGGCTTTGATGCATGATACTTAAAGACCAACTTTCCACATTCTCCTGTATTTTTTTCTCATTTTGATCATGCCTCTGACCTGCCAAGAGGATGGAAGGTTTTCTAAGCAGCTATTCCTGGAGGTCATGGAGATCCCCTGCCCTATCTTTCCATATTGGGCTGGATCAACAGAGAATTCCTTTTCTCCATAATTACCTCTGAGTACAACCTGGTGAGCCTGGGAAGACAGAAACTGCTCTTCAAGACTGTGAAAAGTCCCGAAAGACACTGAAAACGCTGTTCCGGGCCTTGAGAAAGGAGCTAACTTTTGCATTTTCTTTCCTGCAGTGTGAATTCCCAGAATAAAAATCACACAATATTGTCAGTGCTGACAGTCTGTGCCAAGCAGTCGGTTTGCCATGAGCCAGAGCAGGATATATTCATTGTATGAATCATTGGTCATCTTTGTGCCAGATTTATGGAAGGTAGAAGAAAAGAAGTGCAGTGTAACTGCATGTTCACTTTGTGCAACAGCATGGAAGAAGTAACAGCAGAATAAAGAGTATGAAAATATAAATAAGCTGAAACAGGGTTAATATTCCAGGGATGCTCCTGTACTTCACATTGGGATAGATAATATGATGCAGATTTTCTGCCTGTGTCCTTTATGGAAGAGTTTTRCCTTTCCCTTCTGCATGAATGTGTTTGCAGGGCTCAATGCACAGATGTTTGCTAGCTGCAGCATTATAGCGTATAGCAGTGTTTACAGAGAAAGTTGGGGGTGGTGGCTAGAAAAAAAATAGCAGAAAAGTGTTTGCAGAGATGGATAGAAGATGGGAACAGCTGGGGTGCATTTTTTAGTATTAGCATAACCACTGTCTTGGAACACTGTGCAAGCAGCAAAGCTTTGAATGCCCTGAGGGTGCAGAGTGCTCCACATTTCGGAGAACCTCTGCCAAGCCTCTAAACAGCCTGCGAGAAGAGGCCGCTGAGGCAGCTACTTGAAGGCACCGTCCAGACCCCAGACCTTGAGAMCACCAAGGGAGGTAGTTGATTCTCCACCCGTGCGGTTTCAAAGTCTATGTGAGACAAATACCCAACTGGGAGGAAGGAGAACAAGTTTATTCAGCCCGGGACACTTCAGGTCTCTTCCTGCCCTATTTTCTATGGTGCCTTCCGCTGTGCCGTCTCTGCGCTCAATAAATCATGACCCTGCATCCATATGAAGCTTGTTTGCTGTTCTAACAAACCTAACAACCTCAATCCTCGTGTGCCAGGGAGGACAAAGTGCAGCACAGCTCCTGAGGACTGGGACACCCAGCAAGGGATGCTCCCCTTTCCCCTGTCTTTCTGCTGTCTTTTCCTTGTCCTAGGCTCAGCTTTCAGCCTGGTATCTCCCTAAAGCATCCGCTTTTGACTCACCTCGCTATGCCTACATTTTACAACCCCCTTCAAAAGTTCCTCTAAACTTCAAGCAAGTGTTGGCCAAGGCCAGCTGGAAAATAAACATCCTTATCTCCTGCAGTGAGCTCAGCCACGCAGCATGCTCAGGGACCGGCTTTCCTGCTGGAGAGTCAGGTTTTACTGCAGCAGTACGTGGGAAGCGGGGAAGAGATCCAAGCTTCCACAAAACACTTTTGGAGAGCTGGTTTCTCCTCGGGGATGGCATTCCCTGATCACGCTACCTTTTGTCCGGTGAGGTCTTGGCCCAGGGATGGGCAAGAGTGGATTCCCAGCAGTTTTGGGGTCAGATGCTTTTTTACAAAGGCCCTTTTGCTTGCAGGCACTTTGCACCACTGCAGGCAGCTCCTTTGGGAGCACGTGGCTCCACACAAGGCAGCTGCACCAGGCAAACATGCTGCTTGCAAAACCCTTCCGTTTGCTCTCCAGTCACAGCTGGAGCCCAGATATTTCAAAGCCTGAAAAATATTACAAGTGGGGAAATGAAATCAATCAGACTTGTCCAGACCACAAGGTTTTCAGTTCAGGTTACAGGGAAAGGTTTATCCAGCTTCCTCATTTGGTTCTTATTAATAATGCAGTACCCTGAGTGCTACAGCAAGGGACAGAGTGATCAGGGAAAGGCAGGCAAACCATCTTGCCTTGCTGTATCTAAGGACCCGATATGATCAAATAAGGATAACGTTATTTGTCTAGTTTGTTCCCAGTAGCTGAGCATGGCTCTGTGCCTGCCTGTCTGCTGGGACCAGACTATTCCTGTTAGCACTTGGCAAATCAGTTTTCCATGAGGCTTGCAAAGATACTATGGGTGGAACCCATCCCAGCCTCTTTGTTTTACTGATTACGGACTTTTTTTTTTATGGGGGGGGGGGGGGGGGGG